CTGCTGAAGTACTTCAGATCACAGCTGTGTTCTCAGCGGCCCTCAAGGTCTTGGGACGTAGGACAAAAACCTCCTCTAAAGGCAACTGAAGGCAGTCAAGATTGTTGCGAAGATCACGTTCTTTAAATATATTCTACTGATCCCAGTTCAGGAAGGTATTTCAGTATGCATGTAGACCGAAAGCTTACTAAATCAGTGCCACGATTACGGCTAACAAGATGATGACATAATACTGCCGAACATAACAGCCTTTGCTTAAAAATATTATGTAATAAATGTTAGTATAAACTGCTGTAAAACCAGAAATCCTTGAAGGCATGCAATTACTTCATATAAATATATGTAAACACAAAAGAGAACTCTCCTGATTGATAGTGGTTTCTGTTTTAGTGCGTGGCTCCGCACGGGTTGACAGAAGTCTGACAACCCATGCTATAGCCTGTCACCTGAACCTTGAACAGTGTCCCATCCGCACACATACAGAGCTTGAAACGCAGCCAGTCGTCGTTATTAAACTGTTCCCCGTGAGAAGAACTTGGCAGTCGCGATGGGCTGACCATCACAGTTCCATTCAGGATAATGCTGTTTTCCTATTAAGAGGGAGAAAAAAAAAGTACAACTTCTAATTTAAACAAGGCATGTTGTTTTTGGAAAGGACAAGCTGGTTTAATGAATAAATGACATCTTTAGGGTGGCTGTAGAAATCAACAGAATGAAAAAAGTACATATGACAAGGTTTCATTTTTTAATGAAATTTGTGAACAATGCCCATAAATTTCTCAACTATAGTCAGCAATGTACTTTGCTATTCCAGTAGTAGATCAGTATTGAGAGAGGCAGCAGTAGTGTGGCTTTTCACTTTACAGACCTGTAAGCAAATGCAGTAAATCTAAAAATACGGACGTGACATGGGAATCAGTGTTTGAACTCATACATGAAATTAATTCATAGTTGAAATAAAAGTGCATGTATCTCTATTTTTTATCCTCCTTTAACCTTTTCCATCATTCTATATGCCCTGCAATCTTGACAATCTCCAAAAATCTTGAACGAATGCTGGCAAGTCTTACTGCAGCAGCACAGGAGGTAGCGCTCCTGACTGCATGCTCTGCTCCTCTGTCAAAGGTTGCTGACCCCCGTAAAGCCTCCAGAAGAGAAGATGAATTCCCTTTGGTATTCGTTTCAGTGCAGAGCCCAATAGCTTAGCTTTAATTGCATTGTGCGTTTTTAGCGTCTTAACAGTAGTAAATCATTTTTACTTGAAAACTATTGAACTACTAATTAACAGCAAAGTAATAAACCACCTTTTAAAATCCTACTAAATACACTGACTGCAACTAAACTTTTATGCATGACTACTTTATATAAAATTTGAAATCATATAAAGCTACATCAGTTTATTATCAGCCTGAATTTGAAACTAAGCTGTTCAAAAAATGCTGATTTGAAATACTTACTGCTTTAAGTTCCATGTTACCCCCCATTCGAAACTCAATGGTCTTGCCTGTGATGAAAACACCTTCGTTTCCACGGACAATAGCACGGCCATCGACCTTTATGTTTAGATCACTGGTTGCATTGCTGGTAATCTAAAAACATGAACAAAAAAAGTGTATTACAGATCAATGAAGATGTGTCATCTGGGTTTGTCTGAGTAACTTCAATTACCTTAAAAATATTGCTACACAATGGAATAAAAAACTTCAATGTACTGTTTGCCCTTCTGCCATTATGCCTATGAAGCTTCTGCCCATTTGTTATTTTCACATTCACATTTAAAAACAAGGATTACTTAATTGTGGAAGGTATGTAAAATAGTTTATTTTTATGATAAAAATAACAATTCATATGACAATTTTATGGGATACACAGTTAACACTCGTAGCAAATACAGGCTTCCTATTAGGACTGGTTATATAAACTAACTCCCCTGTTGTCATTTAATCTGTTCCTCCTATGTATTTATAAGTTTGCGTTTTTTTTTTTTTCCTGGGACATACTATTTAATGATTAGCCTTGCAGAAGAAACACGAAGAAGAGCAAACTAAAGTCTTTTCATCCTTAACAGTGTTGTGCAATGCTTCCTAAGGCACGCTCAACCCTCTATAAAACCACTGATACTACTCTACTAATGTTATACAGAAGAACTATGCACTGTACTCCATCTGTAAAGGCTTTATTATGCGTGATGATGTGCAAGAAAGAAATTTTAGTCTGACATTAAGATCAACATTTTAAATGTACACACCCTGACATTTAGGTTTTTTAGTTTTCTGATAAATAAAGCATATTTAATATAGAAACCAAACTAAGAACGCGTTTAACCTAAAAGCCATGAACTGACACAACTCCTGTAACGCTGTGATTATTCTCTACACTTTTACTCAGACTTCTGAAATTCTGATTGTATTAACATTTACCTCCAATAGAAGGAAAATGATACATGAAGATCTGGTAATTATTTTTGTAAGATCTTACTAGAAACAGAGAAGCTTTTCATGGAGATTTTATTTCTGAAACAGTTACCCGTGCACAAATGGATAAATGCTTAATAAAAAGACACAGACCTAGTTGGCATGGTATTCCCGATATCACACTCATTTAATGATGACAGTTTCCATTTCTGTTCTAATTTTTAGGGCAATTTACATTTTCAGAGCTGCATTTTTAGCTACGTTTAGTCAAATTTCTAAATATCCTTGAAAGATCGGATTAGTAAACGTTTTTTCGTATTCTACAACTGTAATGAGCTTTTACAAAAAGTAAGAGGTAGTTAAAAGAGACATACCCTCTCTGTAGAGGCCTTTTGTACGTTCAAGATTTTAACTCCATTTGGCAGATGAAACTCATGAGTTTCATAGTCTGTGCTGAACAAGGTATTTTGTGTCCGTGGGTCAACAAATTCCATGCCAATATCGCTGGTAATAGAAGTTTTGTCTTTTTCCACACTAAGCTTGGTTGTTCCTTGCTGAAACACAATCTTCAGAAACAAAGTCATGAAGTTAATGATGATTCAAATACAACGTTTATTAATAATAAGTGTAATTCTATGGCGTTGCTCACAAACTTTCAATTCATGATATAACTTACAGGCTGATTATTTCCAGTGATCACCAAATCTTCATTACGTCTGCCTCCTACAGTGCTTTTATATAATGGATGTATAACACCCATGTCAGAAACTTGCTTAAACCGCAACAAGCCACTCTCATGGAACTCCATACTGTCACAACCATTGGGACCGATTCGAATCACTGCCCAGATAACTAGTGTAATCTGAAAGAGTAACACACATTTTCAAAGATTACTTTCATTGTTTGGATCTTCTCAGCACAAGTATTGTATTAACTAGATGTTTTATTTGAAATAATTATTAATGCTAGTGTTTAAGTGAGCTTTAGGTGTGAATTTGCTTTAATTCACTGTTTAATTCCTATTGGAAACATCAGAAATGGTAACTAAAATAATTTGTGTACATCTAAAATATATATATATATATATATTTGAAATTAAATCACATCCATAATTAAATCTTTCTCCTGTTTAAGGGTAACCATGGTATCATTAGCTAAACAAATCTCCTGAACAAAGTAGCTCAACTCAGGATATACTTACCCTTGAACTACAAGAAAGCACCTTCACAGGTGGATGTCCAGTTATCAAAAATAATGTATTACTTCTCATTGATCAAGCAATAAAAAGGTGGTAATTACAACAACGAAGGTTTAAAGCGCAGTGGCTGATTAATTCTGAATGCTCATGTGCAGCTCTGTTATTGTATGTAAAATGTTCCTGAAATAACAGTTTATCCTGAATGCATTTGTACTGCACTGATAACACTTTGCGCATGTGCTGTTACTGAGTTTTGGGAATGGAGAGACACTTTCAGGGTTCCTAATTCTGTGTTGCATAAATGGTAGGTTCCTTGCTGGGACCATGATAACTGAAATAATTGTGACTGAACTTATAAGATTCTTCCATCTAATCTTGCTCAGACTACAAAAGAACAAAAAAGAAAGGGAAAAATGAGAAATCTCCTTCAGTACATTTTAAGTCCTTCTCAGCCATACTGGAATAAGTTATATTTCTGTAATAAACCATCAAAATGAAATACGTCCTAATGTTGCTTACAACCTAAGTATTATACTCACAATCAGATTGATGACAGCCAAAATAAAAAGAAGAACAATCACACAAATGGCCAAGTTGCCTTTCCTGCCACGTAACCCTGTCTTATGGAGACGGTCTTCATCAATCGGAATGTATCCTGCTTTAAAGTTACTGTTGTGCTCCTTATTAACGTTCCTGCGTTCCACAGCCTTCTCTCGCATAGACTTCTTCACTGGGCCATTAGAACTTTGCTATAATACAAAGCATGGATCAGCTGTTATAAGGCATGTAAATCCACTGAAATGACACACATATATGTATGCAAAAAATATAAATTTGAATTGACTAGTGGAATGCATTAGACATCATGTTCAATATTATATTTCAGTCTGCCACTCTATACTTGGAATACACATTTACAACCACTGCAACCTCTGCTAACACATTGACTAAAATTAAAATCCCGATATATCCCGACAATATGTTTTTATATCTCATTTTTATCATGGCAGATAGGAATTATTAATGACATCATTGCAGTAAAAAAAAACAGCTGTAAAGAACTTCATCAAGTTTTTACCTCTTGGGGACAATTCAGGACATAATCCTGCAGGCCATTTACCAATACACAGGATTTTAGTTCCCTCCATGCTAATGCAGGATAGACGCTCAATGAGTCTATGCAAAAGGAGCGTGGCGGATGATACAGTTTTAATGTTAGTTTGATAGCACAGGGTTTGCATTCAACTTCTATTGCTTGCATGCAGCACTAAGAAAAAGTAAGGCTTCAAACCTGGCATGGGGAACTTGGCCAGCCTAGCTTTAATTTAACCATTTGAAGTTACTTGACTGCAAGAGAGCTTGTCAAAGTAACAAATTAATATGTAGAGGAAACTCTTGTAGCTGTTCATAAGGGAAAATAAACCTTTGATGTATTTTTGGAACTTTGTCCAAAATTTTGTTCTACCTCCCTTGAATGGAACAGGTTGCTATTTAAGGGTTCAATTCTTCAAAGAAGGGGCTTGATCTTTTTGATAGGATTAAGTTTCTTCATCTGAAATGAATCCTGAAGCTGCACCTTAAGCTTGCTGCACTTGCGTATGTCTATACAGATGCAACGGGCAAAGACATCTTGTTTTCTTCTGTTGCTAAAGAACAAGGAAATGGTGTTCAGAAAGGTGCTCGACCTGAACAGGTTTATGGAGGGCTTCCTCGGTGATGTTCTGGAAGCCACCCTAACCCTGCACAAACTCAGAACTGGCAGGCAGGGAAACTCAGAAAAGAGGTCTCTTGTCTGGGGAAATCTTGTACAACAGGACAGTAAGTATCTTGTCCTGAGGATAGTGTGTTCTTGAAAGGATGTGACGGCGAGATAAAACTCCAATGTAGTTTTTTCACCTGGTAAGGCAGCGCAACAGAAGACAGCACCAGGACTGGGAGAACATGGCTGAAATGGTGATTGCTGGAAGAAGTGCTGGAGCATCCATGCAGAACTAGGCAGTGCTTCCTATGGCACCCGCGACGAGGCGGGTACAGGACCCCCCAGGAATCTGAGGCTTCCTACCCACTGCCGCCACCAGCACAGACTCACTGACTGGAAGTCCCATGGAGATGCAGGAGCTCCTGCAGGACGAGCCCTCGGCCCGCTCCGTTCTCTTCCCTCCGGCTTGCGCTGCCGGAGCCCCCGTCCCAGCCCTCCGACTGGGTGACGGTGACGCCCCTCCGGACAAATTGAGCTTTCACGCCCGTGTGAGACCTCGGATGCTGAGCCCCAGTCTGAGCCCCAGTCTTATTTATACACCGCCGCTGAGCTACCACACTCGTGCCAGCGCAGCAAGACGACTGACAGCGCAGGCCTATAAATACCAACCGCACCGACCAGCTGCTTCCCGCGTCACTCATTAGCGGCAAGTGCCTGTTGACGCAAGACAGTTACATTCCTGTGCAGAAACGCCAGAACGCTTTATTTCGAACGCGGAAAGTATTTTTCTTTGTCAGAGACCGTGCGCCCGCGGGCCGGACGGCGCAGCTCCGGGCTGTAGCCTCCCGCCACGGCAGCGGGCTCAGGCTGCCTCTCCCCGGCCAGGCAAAGGCCGTCCTTTCCGGGCCGCCCCGGGCACGGGTCGGAAACACCGCCCAAGCGCTGTTCCTCCCCTCCCCGCTTGGTGCAGGCATTGCCTTCCCGGACAGCGCCGGGCACGGGTCGGAAACACCGCCCAAGCGCTGTTCCTCCCCTCCCCGCTTGGTGCAGGCATTGGGGAGCAGGGGGACCGGGGAGGCCCGCCGCCACCCCGCACTCCCGCCGCACCGGAGGGCTCCGGCACCAAACCAGCCTCGGCCACCGCCGCGAAAATGGCGCCCCCGCCCGAGCGTCCCCTCCACAAGCAGCGCCCCTCGGCCGGAGCGGCTGCTTGGGCGGCTCGCCGCGGCGGGCGGCGGGGCGGGCCTCGCTCCCCCCTTGCCCTG